AAGGAATGTATATAAATCAGAATGTATATAAAGCGGCATTGTGAGCCTTCTTTTTTCATTTTTTTTGCTATATGTAAAAATAATGAAGCCGGTTGAAAAAAAACACGAAAAAAATAAGAGAAAGTAGTTCTCCTTTTCACATGAACACATAATTCAATTGGCGTAAAGGAGAGAAAAGGAGTATTTTGCTGTGAAAAAACATATAATGGCGGAGAAGTTTTGGTTGTGTTGGCATCCCTGTTGCGGGTAAAACCATCGAATTAATAACCCCTTCCTCACTCCAATCCAAACGAATAAAACAACAACGAGAAAAATAAATCCGAGAATAAAAAGGCCCTCAAACACCTCTCAAACGAAGGAAAACAGATAAAATAAAAAAAAAAGAAATAATAATCTCGCGGAATCTCGCCGATCTCGAGACGTCGCGAGAACTTCAGCTTTGTCGGACAAGGAGACACTTTGCTTCAGAATTTCCCGTCTTTTCTGCTGGAAATAACCGAAAATAAGCCCGGGCGAAGTAACAGACGCGGGCTGCAATGAGTGAGGATAATAACGAGATCAAAGGTACGTGGCGGAGTGGACGAATTGAGGGGAAATGAGGAGATATTCGAAAGAGGCCAAAACGAGATGGGCTTCGGGGGCTGTCAGGGGAGCCTCGTCGTCGTTGTTGTTGTTGTTTTTTTGTTTATTTTCTTCTTTTGAGGAATTCCCGAGGGATATTTTTCTCAGCGGGGGCGTTGGTGCTTCTCTGAAGGAAGATTAGGATAGAGATGATTGAGTCTTAGAAGGTTTTTTATTGTCTTTGTGGATCCTGAAATGGGTTTGTTTTGGGCGCTGCGGACGGGGACGAAATGCTGCTTTTGGGTTTTAAGAAGTTCCGGATTTTTGGAATTACAGTCGGTCGCTTGGGGAGCTCTCTTGACTTATTTGATGCGTCTTGATCGCCATTAAAAGCTACGAGTGGGGTTCCAAGGAGCTTGCAAAGATTTAAATGCATTAACGGATTTAAACCCGTCAATTTTGGTATCGCTGGACTCTCGTGATTTATAGTATGCATTGATTGTGAATTTAGTTGTTAAATGATAATAACAGCAATGATGCAAGACCCGATACGTGGAGAGGGCATGAGGTCCCAGCGGCAAGTGGGGGACTTACATAATCTGGCATGTTTTATTTTTGTCGATGTTATTCTGCATTCAGAACTTGATTTACGTTACCTATAGCGATGTGTGTAGAGCGGGAAAAGTAGAATAACATAGTTTAAGTTGCAGCAGCCTCATAGTAGCAGCCTCACCACTAGATGATGAAAATATACCTTGCATATCACCGCTCAGATTCTAAGTTGATCTTGTTTACATTGTCAGAAATAACACAACACTGACCACTTAACTCATAACTGCGATATCTGAAGTAGTTCATGTGTTATTAGGTGCTTGTCAAAACAATATTTAGCTAATTATCAATGTCTGCTGTTACTCATATATGCTCTTAAAGTCTTTTATTAGTGTTATTATACTTCATTTATGTGTTTTAAGATTTATCTGTACACTTTTTGCGTTTCGCACTTTCATTGACCATCTGCCAGGTTTGACAACTCACCGTCCATTCTGTAACAGAACGCCAGTGAGAAATAGTTTCCGGTGTTGTTGATTCTGGGTTATTCTTAAGACTGTACAGTGCCTACGAAGATGAAATAAACTTTAGTAACCATCCCAGTTTAATATCTGTGCCTCAGATGCTGTAAAAAGTTATTAAAATTGAAGCAATCGACACAGTAGAAAGAAGCGAACAAAAGTTTGACGTTTCCAGATACAAAGGTATTTGGTTTATTATTTTATGGTGTGAATGTAGCTCTATCTTACTGTACATACCGAGGTAAAGAGAATGTTTCCCGGGGGGTGTTGGGTGGGCAGAACCCCCATCAACCCTCCCTTTGGGCAGTAACGCCTAGTCACAGCAACTTAAATTGTTAGATAAGGCTGGTTTATTGGTCAGTCCTTTTTTGGGGGGGATTGGAATGATTGAATTCCCATAGATTTTGCTGAAAGGTGAGTTGGGTTCCTGTAGAGTTTTTGAATTTTGGCACATTAGTCTTTAGAATTTTAAAGATGGTGGGTATGTTCATTAAGCGTTTTTTGTGCTAGTTTTACGCAATTTTGTTTGCTATTCTTTGTATTTTAGCCTGTTTTACCCTATAATTTTCCTGATATACCTCTTGCCCTCTCTTGTTATCGGGACTATCAAATTAAGATCGTCAATGGAGAAATAGTATTCAATCTTTTCAACAATTCATATACAGAAGAAACTACGCCAAGAATCGATGATATCATTGGATTTCATGCCGAAAATCATTAATTTTTATTTTACTAAGTCTCTTGGAGGGGGTATCACTGTTGGTAACAATTACCTAGAACTCTTTGTACAACAAGTTGGACAAGTTAGACAAGATGTCTTGACCTTTTGAAGCCTCTGCTTTGGTATCCTCAATCTAGATTAATTAAACTCTTATTGTCAATTAAATGTTCTGAGGAGATGTTAACATATTTTCCACCAGCGCCAAAGCGCTCCTATCAGCATTTACGTGTTTCGTGGTCTGAACCCATCATCTCCATTCTTTGTATTTCTTCTCATGACCTGGGAGTATATGAAAGGTTAGATCTCCCTTTCCATCAAATTGTGGTTCAACAAACTATCAACTACACAACTCCTTGGCATTCTCACACAAAAGAACTTAAGATTCTTTGATTAACACAGTGAATCCTTAACCCATTTACTATGGGTGTCCCACATATGAGACACCCGGAAAAAAAATTGCCAGGCGTCCCGCCAGTGTGACACTGTATTGGGGCTTGCAGGAAGAGTCCGCGCTAGCCCTCGCGCCAATTTTGTAGCCGCCTGGAAACTTTTATTTTCAGCTTCAAAATATACCAGTGTTACTGGGTTAAGCGCATACAATAAATTTTTGAACGAAGAAGGGTTTGCTTTCACCAAGTGCTTGTGGCTAGGTGTGGTTATTATGCTCTATAGAATCGATAATGGTAAATGCAATTAGTAATTCAATGTCAGGCTACTTCAAAGAATCGTCAGTCCAAAGTTCGGCAGGTAAACAATATAGACACTCTTTTAGTTACATAGCTTTTAGTTTCACTTCATAACGCTTTTTCTCAATGGTTTATAACATATCTAAGTAATTATACATTTTCGCGTGAGGATAGCACTACTTTTCTTTATTCTATGGATTTCATTGTCAGGGTAACTTAGCTTCATGATGTCATGCCAAATTAGTCTATAGAAGGTAGGAAAGGTTAACTTGGGTTTTTGGTTTGCATGAACCTAAAACCTGGTTTTGGGACTTAGTCTCTGGAGGGTGCAACGCTCTCAGTAACAATTACCAACACAGGTATGTTAAAATAGTGTGTTTACTTTTGAGCTGGTTGCATTGCGGACAGTGAAGGCCTCGGAGGTTCCAAACATGGCCTCATTGTCCTGCTGGTCCTGACAAGTTGTCTGGACAAGCAAGAGGAGTTCCAAACGCAACTTTATGCTGGTCATTCTCCCATTAGCCTAATATGGGAGGTGTGCAACCCCAATCCCCCTCCTAGAATGCTAATATTTTCACCACATGTAACAAGCAAAATAGAGCCCTGATGAATTGAGTAACACAATGAATTTATGAGTAACCTTTTGATCTAAGCAAGCTGGAGGGCAACATCTTCTGCTGTCAGTTCTTTGAGCCTGTTGATTTTAAATTTGATGGTTATAGGAAAATACCATAACATGCCCTGATTGGTGATAACATCCTGATGTTGATTACCAGGAGCTCAGGGGGATATGATGTCAAAATGAGAAGTATTTTAATGCTTTTTGTTGCTTCTACCATCTAGCAGCCAAAGGACACTATCCCTCCACCACAAGCTGGTGAGATAATGTTTAATCTACTTTTTTAACAATTTATTGCCGGGGAGAAGTGTGCAAAATTAGCTTTTGGCTGTTGTTGAAGAGCTGTAGCTCTGCATGCTGGCACATGGTTTGCAACTTTTCCATTCTGTCTAATGTAATTTGACAAACATAATCCAAACTATATACCATTAAACTTCTAATGACAGGCCAAAAAGTCAGTTGTCATGTAAGCCGTGACAGCTTTCTCCAATGATCAGTAAATATTTAACCCATTCACAAGGAATGAAATTTTAGGTAAGGTTTGGTAAGATAGATTTATATTACCATGCTGAGCTGCCATTAAACTGACTAGGAAATGGACATAAATTATGATTAGGAGTCATGCAGCTTGTGAGAATTTTCAGTGTGATATGTTAGGATGTCACTCAAGGTGAATGGGTTAAGAAACCAATAGGTTATCATTTGCATATTATATAATAATGTGGTGCTATTGTAGAAGGTCAGACTAATTCATTACACTTGAGAATGCATTTTAGATTTTTTCTAGGCATTGTTTGATATTCTGTTGTGTGTCTCTGGGTGGAGGTTAACTTTCTTGCTATCCCCATAAATTGAATGCTTTTGCTTGTACCATGTGTGAGGAAAATCAATTTCAGTGGTTGGTCAGCTGGGAAATTTGGTAATCAATGATCATGTAGGAAGCTTGCACACAGTGGAATGAATTTTAAGCATGTGTAATTATAATTTTCCTATTTTGATTTTTACAGGAGAGCAGGAAGTGGATCTCATGGAAGAACTTCTGGACTCGGCAGAAAACTTTGATGAATTGAATGATGTTGCCGATGATAAAGCCAGTAAGCACATTTCCTTTTGTTACAAGATTGAAGTGAAAGAGTTTCTAAAAGGTGATGATAATGTAATCTGAGGCATAGTGGTGAGACAGAGTTTCCCTTTTCCTAAAGCTGGATTATTATAGTGGATTGTGACATCCAGATTTATTTGCAAGTCTTGCTGCCCTTCTGGGTGAACCTTATCCTCAAAGAGCTGATCGCATTTTCATAGCACATGCTAGAGACAGAACATGTAAAGACATGTTTTGCCTATAAATATATAGATAAAATTACAGCTTTATAGATGAATAAAGACTCCTCTTAAGCTTCACTACCAGGTTTATTGAACTAGTGATTTTGATCCAATTATAATTGCTCACCCCGTCCTCTTTATCTCTCTTTTAGATAAACGCCGCAAGAAAGTTGTTGACAGTAAGGATGCCTCAAGTAAGAACAAAAAGGAAGATTCCAAAGAGATGGCACTAAAAAGAAGCAAATTAAAGGAGAAGCAGGATGCTGCTCGAGCCAAAAGAGAAGGGAAAAAGAAAGTGAAAACTGTTAAGAAGGATGGTGAAGGAGGTGAGTTTGTGAACCCACATAGCAGATGCCTGGAATGGTTCCTCAAGTGAAAATATGAATTTACCCTCTATTTCTGATTGACTTTTGTATATTGAAATGTGAAATGCAATAAGACTTCAGTAATTGATTATGCCATTGGTAAGCATCTTCAGTAGAATATTTTTTCTGTTAACTTTAGTATCTAGTTACCTTTAGTCAGTGTCTTGTGAATTATTTTCAAATATTTAAGCATTCTCACCAAAGACAGAAACTGAACTGCTAATAAACTCTTGTGTGAACTTTCCAAATGTAAACAGATGACGGAGGCAAGATAGGGGAAGAAGAAGGAGATATGGAGTTTGATACAAGGAGTGAAGCATCATCTGACCACCAGTTCTCTGATGATGAACCATCTATGAGCGAGGCTTCACATGCATCTTCCATTTCTCGGGAATCTTCACGTAAGTACATGATGGTTGTCTCCCTTAATTCTCCTGTCTCTTCTTTTCCTTTTTATATCCCCTTCCATCCTCTTTCCCCACTTTCTCCTGTTTCCTCTTTTCCTTTTTATTTCCCATTCCTTCTTCTTTCAACTCTCCCTTTTCTCTCACTGTTTCCTTTCCCTCCTCTGTCTCCCTTTCCCCTCTCTCTCTCTCTCTCTCTCTCTTCTCTCTCTCTCTCCTCTCTCTCTCTCTCTCTCTCTCTCTCTCTCTCTCTCTCTCTCTCTCTCTCTCTCTCTCTCTCTCTCTCTCTCTCTCTCTCTCTCTCTCTCTCTCTCTCTTTCCTTCCTTTCCCCCCTGTTCCCTCTCTCTTCTCTCCCTCTCTCCCTCAGTAATTTTTATATATATCATAATATTTTGTAGCAGTGCTTAAAAGGATTCTCTTTTTTAGAATATTCTATTACTTACAGCTGAGAAGGAAGATATTGAAGAAGAAAAAGAAACAAGAAAAAGGAAACACAGTGCATCAGAGACCTCAGTGAAGAGTAATGACGATTGTAAGTGTTATATGTGTACTATTTTCATTGAGATTTAGATTAATACATATTCTTTATGTATACACACAGGTAAAACATAGAGAAGCTTTTCCAAGTTGGAAAATCAGTAATGTTGCAATGTATTTAATAGCAAATGAAGTCTGATGATTCTGACACCATTTATGTAACTATATTGATGGAGTGGGATTTTAATAAATGCTATACCTTGCAATATGTAACTTGGAGATGTTTTTGTGGGTCAAAGGCTGGATACTCAAAGGGTACCTAGGAGGCTTTACCTTCCGTCTGGTGACCAAAGTTAGTGTGGATGCGGTGACTTATCTCAGATTTCATCTTGTATAAACAAATGGTTTTGCCAGCTTTATGTCCACACTTTATGACCTTGTGTCACTGTAAATTATCTAGTGTTGGATCTTCAGTGGCCAATTACAGCTCCTGTTTTAGGCGGCTCTTCGGTAATCTTGACTAATCGCAAGACACAAACACTCATCAGCTGAGTTTGTAAACAGCACTTTCACTTTTTAGGTGACATGGGCTGGAAGCCTATGTCACCTAAAAGAGATACAGTGCTGTAGCATGTTTTGAGTATCCACCCCCACAATCTTAATTTTTGCTAGATAATGTTTAGTACTAGAAATACATAAATTGCCATATACAGTATATATATTAGTTACAGTATTGATGCTGTTCAGGTGTTAGGCAGCATTGTTTGAAACTACATTTCTGCCTGTTACAAACCTATAAAAAGTAGCCACACTTTTATATACATAAACATTTAGGGCATAATATGTCTATATATGTTCTGATAGAGAAAGATGTGCATACTAAGAAATCTGTGTGCACAAATATATTTTTTACCAAGGCTTTTTAAGATTTTGGAATAGTTTTTTCTGCTTTATCATGACTTTTGATATAGTATATTGGACATATTTTATTATGAAAGTGATGAATTTTTAAGGTAGTTTCATGTGTGATACTTTTTTGTCGGGAAGCCAAAATAAAGATTACAATTAGTTCACACTTTTACGTAAATGATTTTTAACAGCACCGGAAAAGAAGGTAAAGGAGAATACAACGAAGAAAAAATATGACTACATAACCAAAGTAAATTACATGTTCCGTGATGCACGGTTCTTCCTGATGAAGTCCAACAACGGAGAGAACATTGTTTTATCAAAGTCCAAAGGTGTGTGGTCTACACCTCCTCAGAATGAAGCAAAGCTCAATCAGGCTTACAGGGAAGCTAGGAATGTTATCCTTATCTTCTCCGTTAAAGAAAGTGGACGTTTCTGTGGTGAGTGATTACTTATTTGCTTGTTTTTGTGTGCTCTCTTTGAAATACTGGATTTGAATAGCTGAGGCATCTTTTGGTTGCCATCCTACATAATTTTTTCTTAGGCTTACTCATTTTTCTCGGACTTTCAGGATTCGCACGCCTGTCAGGGGAGTCAAGACGAGACCTTCCCCCAGTGTCCTGGGTTTTGCCTCCAGGATTGTCAGCTCGTGCTTTAGGGGGAATATTTGAGATGGATTGGATATCTAGGTAATTCTTACAAAGGATGTTTTGAGTTTTGAGTTAAGATTACAAAAGTAAGTCTTGTATATGTATTTGTAGGGATTACTCTAGAAGGGTTTTTTATCTGGGACCCATGGAACCCAGGTTCAAAAGGTGTTATCATTTGCACCTCCTTGATGAGGGGAATACAAATGCTTATCATTTATTCACACTCATAAGATTAAACAAGACTTTTCCTTTTATTCTGTTTTATACATTAGTTACATGTTTATCACATTGCACTGTTTCCGTATATAAAGGTATGATATTGGGGTACTGGTATTAATGGTTATATATTTTTATTTGCAGAAAGGATCTCTCCTTCACCAAAACTCAGCACCTTTATAATCCCTGGAATGAAGGCAAACCAGTAAAGATTGGAAGAGATGGTCAGGTAAGAGTGCAAATAGTGTTTTTCTTTTCTTTTCTATTCAAATTGATCTTTATGCCTTCCGGTGAGGTTTCCTTTTATGATTATTAACCCATTGGATCCGTTTAGAGCGTTTGAAAACCCATGAATGGTGACAAGACTCAGTGCCTCCCCTTTGCAAAGTTATTTTGAGTGAATTTTTGTAGCCTTTTTGCTATTTTCCAATGTCTTTTGAATTGCTTTATCCAGATGATAATAGCTTATTTCCTTGCACAGACTCCATATCATCTCTCCATGTAGTAATAACTCAGTGCAAGAAAAAAGAAAAGTAAGGAACATTGGCTTATTTGTGTCATATATCTTATTTTTTGTAATTTTCAATTTTCCATAATATACCTTGCACTGCTGGTCACAGTAGCCAGGAATATGGTGCACAGCATGGAAATGGCGTCCTCCTTATAGCCAGCGCTCTTCCAGTCACAGCTTATGCATATATCCCACATTTGTTTATTGATGGGAATAATGCGAAAGCCCCCTTCTAAGCGCCAAATGAGTCAAATCACACTCCAAGAGGTTTATGCATCCTTGGCGAGTCTTTTCCATCACCCTCGCCTTCGCTCATGACAGCAAGTTGGCGTCACCCAGCCTGCTGCCATTTTGCCCGATGATGGCATGTTCACGTCACCCAGCCCTCAACCCAGATATTTCCTTGACGGGACCGTAATGTCATTCGGATTGTAGGGGTTGAGAAGAATTATATAGATAATATAATTAAGCTTGTATTATGACAAATCCATATGATAAAAGTCTCATGAATTTTGTAAGATTCTATTATCACATGGTTTTTCATTTTATCTTTTAATTCATCTCTCTTATTGAATTGCCTAACACTTAGCATGCACTCTTAGACCATCATATAATGTTAGGTGGGCAGTATTAGGTCATTAATGATTACTTAATATCATTATTGTTCTTTGGATTTCTTTGCCATGGAATATTTTATCCTCCAACTTAATCTTACTCCTAGATTAAGCAGTCAGGTTTGGTATGTCTTTGGTATGTGAGGAAATGAAAGATAATTCTTTCTTATTCTCCTTAAATCTTTTTATCTTGCGTTGGTGTCTCATTTCAGTTATTAACTGGTGTCACCTATATGATCCTGTAATGTAGATCTAGGTTTCGCTCTTTGCCACTTTTGTGATGTTTCACTCTTTGCCACTTTTGTGATGAAAGGGACAGACAGATAGACTGGGATTGTGACTGCACAGTGTAAAATTGTGGTTGTGATTGCGTATGTGATCTCAGTAAAGACCAAAGATTAAAATTTGCTCAAATAAGGTAAGAGTATTGATTTTAAACACTTACTTTTCATTGACACTTAATCTGCTAATGTTTTGATTTATTAGTAATGAACAAACTTGTGTTACACTGCAGTGAAGATGGATTATTTTTATCTGTATACTAAGATGTGGAAAAGGTGAAGATGCAGAAAGTAACATCAGTACGAGAAAGCTCAAAGTAAATTTAGTGTTTAATCATTCAATGAACTTGTTTGGAAATATGATTTGTAATCAATAAGTTAAAGCTGTAATTGAGTGAAAAAATGAGTAATTGAAACTTGAATATGTAAAGCAAGATTTTAAAAGTTGTCAGTGCAATCTGTTAAAAGATATTTGTTTCATTTTACTACTTTATTTCAGGTGTCCTTTTTCACTTATTGTTAATGCGTAAGATATTCAAGGAGAAAGACAAAAGAATCTTTATCTCTGTTTATAGGAGATTGAACCAAGAGTAGCAGAGGAGCTTTGTCGACTCTTTCCCAAAGATGACGGGGTTAATCTCACACCAGTCTTGCACAAAAGCAAGCGAGCAGCACGGGTTGCTCGGGCCAGGGGGCCTCTCCGCCGGCCACTTCAACCAGCAGGAGACCGCCGTGGCCCCCAGAGAACGTGGAAACTTCCGGGCCCGGGGACGTAAGCTTCAGGTGCGTCACTACCACCAAGGTTCAGTCACGGCTTGGAGAGTTACATATCATATTGATGTTGCCAGTGATGGCTCTCTGGGTAATGATAGCTTCATCTCTCACCAGTGCACAACTAGTACTGTGGCCATCACATTACATAACACCACACATGTTGCAGTTTGAAACTGATTTAGTAATGAAACCCTATAATTCTATTATGCAACAGCACACATGACCCAGTTTTAAATAAGTGGAAATCAGTATTTAGACATTCAAGACCATTTTTTCAGTATTCATCACAAACAACAGTCAGTGCTGGTCTCGGGTTGAAGTTGTGTTGTGGAAGGAGATGTATGGTAGCATTCTCTATGGTGGCAACAGTGGCAACTAGCAGATAAGACTCTCCAGTATCCAATACAGTAAATGGACTGACAGTCAGTAAGTGCGTGGCAACGTGTCACGGATTCTGCTAGTATCAGGGTAAACACGTGAGACTGGCATGGCCCCTAGTGGGTCAGCCCCACTCACTCCCTCAGTGTCTTGTTACCGCTCTGTCTCTCACCCCAGTGCTGAGGACCCCTATCCTCTCACAGGACTCTGTCCCTTTCTCTCTCACACAACCTGGCTAGTGAGTGACACACCCACCACAAACATAACCAGTGCAGTGCGTACCTCCACATCAGTTAATACCTAACTACCATCATCAAGAGCAGGCATAGACTAGGTGTTTCCTTTTGATAATTAGAACTTCAGATAGTAGAAGAGTAAATATATGCTGGTAAATAAGTTCTACCCAGTGGACTTGTCCGTCAGTATATCTTAAGAGACCATTATCCAAATAGTAGTATAATGAACTTTCAGTGAAAGTAGTGAGTGGTTGGGTCAAGTCCATATACCAGCAGTAGGTGACACTCACTAGCAGGTTGGCACAGAGCCAGGCCCCACCATGTGGACTCGGCTTAGCTGTAAGGTATTGGTCATAAACTTTTTTGTAAGGTAGTGTCTTGCATGGACTCGCTCAAGCATTCAGGACCAAGTGTGTTGGAGATCATAAGTTCACACCAGAGATTAATAGGTGACTGAAGCT